CGGCGCCGGCCTAGCTTTTGTGCCGAGCTGTTTAAGTGGCTCCCGAGAGGGAAGGTTATGGGTCCTATTATTCACCCGTGTCTGCGTTTTCCACGTCCCCGTGGGCAAATCCACCTGTGGCTCAGGAGGAGGGGGCTGAGAGGCGCGGGTCGCGGGAGACGCGGGCTGATTAGCGACCCCTGGACGACAGGAAGCTCGGGCCCGGAGAAGCAGCCTCTCGCACTCGGTTTTCCCATCCCGAGGGCGCCTTACCCGCGGACAGAGACCAGAGCCCTCGGCAGGGTAAGAGGGCGACGCTCCCCAGGCCCCCAGCCCCTCGGCGGCCCCTCCCCGCGGCGAGCGCGCCAGGTGCACAGGTGCGGCCGGGCGCCAGGTACAGTCAGCATTAGCGCCGGGCCGCTTCCCTCGCGCGCGCCCTCCCTTAGATCGGGCTCCCCTGCCTACCTGCGTGTACAGCTCGGCCACCGCCATGGGCGACAGAGAGCAGCTCAGGGGCCGCCGAGGTGCGAGGCTCGGTGACCGGGCCGGAGGCTTTTTCAGGCCCCGGGCAGGTAACCTTCCGCTCCGCGCAAGTCGGTGCAAACCAGCGCAAATCAGCGCCGGGCCACCCTGAGGGAGAAGTTTCCTAGCGGCGGACTAACTTCCCCGAGGGCTGCAGCGCGGCAGGAGAGAAGGCGCGGATTGGCCCTGCCCGGCCCACCTGGCCAGTCCTCGCTGTGATTGGCGGGGCGGGGGCCGCGGGCGGGGCGCGCCCTCTTCCTCACAAGCGCCCGCAGTAAAGTGGGTCCACCTGGCGGGAAGCCGCGCGCTCCGCCCAGAGCCAGCCAGGCGGGGATTCGTTAGCTCTCCTGGCAGGAAACAGGTGTGTTCCAAGCTGTTCCCAGCCCGAGTTTTAGCTCCCCTTAGCGTGCTTACTGGAAAAAAGCAGAGGTTATAAACATTTGCATAGAAAACTGAGAAGAATCACCCAACTCTTAGAACTTGTTACAGTTCAGCCCGGAGATCATATTCAAAATCAGATATTAAAGTGAATAAGTTTCTTTCGTATGAGCAATAACCATTTAGAAAATAGAACATAGAAAAAAAATAGAAAACAAGGTATCTGCAATATCAACGAAAATATAAAGTGTCCACTAACCAAAGTGCACTTGGCCCTTGTGGAGAAAATGTTCAGATTTCTCTTCAAGGATGTGAAAGAAGGCCTGACTAAACGGGAAGACATCGTTGCATGGATGGGAATATTTAATATTGTATGGGTGTCAACTGTATCCAAATTAATACATAAGCCTGATATAATTGGAATCAAATTCCTAGCAGGACTTCTGGAGAGTTGTAAAGTGATTTTATATTTTATATGGAATAAAAGTCCATGTGTAACTAAGACAGTTCTCAAAACAAAGAACAAAGAGGAGTGGTTCGCCCTACCATTTATTAAGGGATATCACAAAGCCATGGTCATTAAATGATGTGACACTGGCATGGGAATGGATAAATGAATAATGGAACAGAATGGAGTCCACCAACAGGACCCTGTATTATATAGTGGCCTGGAGAACCAGAGTGGGTGCAAAAAGATAATTTAATAGAAGGTCCCATTATGTGGAAGAAAAATACAAGCAAGTACATGGCAAACACTACATCCAAAAATAAACTACAGATGGATTCATGATTAAAACTTAATAGTAAAATGAGGAAATTCTCAGAAAAAAATAGGGGTAGTAAAATAGGGATACTGTCTCTTAAATGTTGGTTTAGGAAAGAATGAGTTAAGATCAAAGGAGCACAGCCGTGGACGGAAGAAATGTTGGATCTGAGGTCATCAGAATGGAAGATTTCTGTTCCATGAAGAACACCATTCACAAAGAAAGGCAACAAACTAGGAAATATATTTACAATTTAAAGAACAAATAATTAATATCTAGAATGTTAATCTAGAATATATAAGAAACTACTGTAAATTGGTTAAAGAAAAGATAGGAAATCTAGTTTTAAATATTGGACAATTGACAAAGGAAATGAATAGGCAATTTGCAGATGGGACACCCAAATGACTGGTTAGCATGTAAAGAGATGTCAACTTTCTTAGTAGAGAAATACAAATGAAAATGACATATCACTTTACACCCAGAAGATTAGCAACAATATTTAGGTTGAACAACATCACATGATGCCTAGGATGTGAGAAAATCAGGACTTTTTTGCTCACTCAGCTGGTGGGAACTCTACAGGCATCCTTTAGTATCTAAGGGGGGTTTGGTCCCAGGGCTCCCAAGGAAATCAAACTCCTTGGATGCTCAAGTCTCTTGTATACAGTGGCATAGTACTTGCACATAACCTACGTACAACGTCCTGTGTGTTTTAAATAATCTCTAGATTACTTATAATATCTAATACAGTGTAAACACTATGTTAATAGTTGCTGGTTTTGCTTTTTTGGAAATTTCTGGAATTAAGAAATATGATTTTTGGGTCTGAGGATGGTTGAATCCATGGACGCAGACCCTGTGGCTGTGGAGGGCTGACTGTACTAATACTCTTCGTTCTAGAGAGCAATTTGAGAATACTTAGTGAAAATGAGTTTAGGCAGAAAAATTCTCACATAGTCACCCGAAGCAACAGTTAAGTAGATGTTCATCACAACACAGTTATATATCTCAGAGTTGGAAGCACTTAAATATCCATCGATAGGAAATGAGCAAATAAAACGGGGTATACGTAGAACGTGAAAGTGTACAGCTGCTAGTGGGATCTACTTGTATCCCTCAGAGAGACGTAAAAAACAATGCTGAACAGATGCCTAGCATAGGTCTTATATATATTTTTAAACTCCGTACTTCAATACCATAGTTCATGGATACGAGCGTATGTAAATAAACGTTTGTAAGATAAATTACAAAGACATCCACTAAGTATGCACAAGGGGATATTTATGAGGTTGAGGGAAGTGGGATTTGGCCTAAAGAAAAAAGGGAAACTAAAAATATTAAAAAGGGCTTGACATGGCCCAACACTGGTAAGTGCCAGAAAAAGAGAATTATGGTCAATTCAATTTTGTGCACCTATTGTCCAAAATGATAACATAAAGAAAAAGAAAAGGCATGAAGTGTATCAGGACAGCTGCCTGATTCTCAGAGTCAAGAAAGGAATCTGAAAGTCTAACTACTTTCTTCTTTACATAAAATTTTTATTGAAGAATAGTATGATGTACAGAAAAGTACACAAATAGTAAGTGTCTAGCTCAATGTGTTCTTACACATGGAACACAGCAATACACCCAAGTAACCACCACCCCGATGTAGACAGAACATTTCCAGCATCCTCACACTGTCCATGTTCCTTCAAGCCATTACCCCTCAGAGATAACCACTGTTAAGACATCTATCACGATAGGTTAGTTTTACCAACTTCAGATGTTTTTATAAACGGAATCATGTATGCAACTTTTTGCACCTTGCTTTTTATATGACATTTATCCGCACTGTTGCATGTAACTATATTCTGCTAATTTTTTGTTCTGAATAGTATTCCACTGTGTAAATATTCTACAACTTACTTATCCATTCTCTTATTGGGTTGTTTCAGTTTGTGGTGATGAATTTCAGGGCAGGCCACCCCAGGATGTGCCACTCTGGTATGCAGATTATTTTGAGCTGAAAACAAGCAAGGCTCTAGAGACTAAGGAAGAAACTTTGAACCCTTACTGCCTAAAAGAATTTAAGATAGGAGGCCTGTCCCAGGAAGGCACTATCACCATAGACAACTCTAGTAAAATATGAATTAGATGTGGGAGACAGGGAGGCACCTAGCAAGGTCTGTTTGCTCAAAGTCCTCCCTGTGTCCCACTGCCTTTGGATGGGCCAGTAAATATTCGTTTACCAAACATTAACTTTATCTTCCTGTAAATTACCTGACTTCCCTTTAGAGTCTCAGATCCCCCCTACTTCTTTCTCCTTTGTCCAGAGTAATATATATATATACACACACACATACATATATACACCTCATCCTACCTTGCTGTTTTTTTGAATTCTCGGATTCCCCAAGCTCACATAGTAAGTTTGATTTTTCTCCTGTTAATCAGCCGTCTTTCATTTTAATTGCCAGCCAAAAGAACTAAGAGGGAAAACCTCCACTCCCCAAAGTGGCTATTATGAATAATACTGCTGTGAACATTTAGTACATAGATCTTTTGCTGCACAGATATTTATGTATTTCTGTTGAGTAAATAAAAGGAATAGGATTGCTGGATCATTAGGTCTGAAAGTGCTCAACTTCAGTAGATAGTGCAAGAATTTCTTAAACTTGTGTCAATTTCTACCTCTATCAACAGTATGCCAGATTTTCACCTGTTTAATATTCTCACCAAAACTGATACTTTCAGTTTTTTAAATGTTTGCCTTTCTGATGAGTGTGTTGTGATATCTCATTGTGGTTTCAATTTGCATTTCCACGATGACTATTTGTTGACCATACTGGCATTCTCTTTTCCAAAATATCTGTTCAAGCCTTCAGGACACTCAAACTGCTCTTCAAACAGATTTACAGCAAGTTCTCTTTTCAGCCGCACATCACTTTCAGTGCTGTTTGCTGTCTCTGAGTTCTTTCCCCATCTCTGCCCTGTGAACTAGGCTGCTTCTGGTACTTCTGGGCTCCCCACCTCTGCCAGTTTAGGTTTCAATCTTCTTGGGTCATGAAAATAAATGACACTTGTCATCTGTTTTTCATCTTCCAAAATTTGCTGTCACTTTTATTCCATTCTCTTTCTCTTATTGAATTTTTTTTAAATCATTTATTGGTGCTTCAGGAGGAAGAGGAGCTCAATACAAGCATTGAATCCACAATCTTTCTTTACGTATTTTGGTCACACATCCTTTATCAGATATATGATTTGCAAATATTTTCTCCCACTGTGTGGATTAGCTTTTCATTTCCTTCATGGTGTCTTTCACAGTGCAAATTTTCAAATTTTAAAGAAGCTAATTTATCAATTATTTTTCTTTTATGGATTACAATTTTGGTGTTGTATCCAAAACATCTTTGTCTAGCTTAAAGTCACAAAAATTTTCTTCTACAAATTTCATTGTTTTAGCTCTTATATTCAGGATCATGATCCATTTTGGGTTAATTTTTGTGTGTACTATTGGGGTAAGGGTCTAAATTAATCTTTTTTTTTAAACATTTGGTTATTGAATTGTTCTAGTATCATTTATTGAAAAGAATTGAATTGAATTACCTTGGCAGCCTGGTCAAAAATCACTTGACCATAATTTCAGGATGTTCATTTCTGTTCCATTGATTTATGTCAGTATTTATCCCAGCACCATCCACGCCTGTCTTGATTACTGTAGCTTCAAAATCATTGAAATTGGTAAGTGTAATTCCTCCAACTTTGCTTTCCTTTTTCAAAATTGTTTGACAATTATTCTGAGTCCTCTGCATTTTCATATAAATTTTTGTTTCAGCTGGTTAGTTTCTACCAAAAGCCTGCTGGGATTTTGTTAGGAGCTGTGTTGATTCTGTAGACCAATTTGGGGAGAACTGCCATCTCAGTAGCACTGAGTCTTCTAATTCATGGAATGTTTCCCTGTTTGTAGTTTTCAGTGTACAAGTCTTGCATTTCTTTTATTAAATTGATTCCTAAGCATATTATTCTTTTTGATGTAATTATGAATGACTTGAATGTTTTCTGAATTTCATTTTCAGATTTTTTATTGCTAGTATATATAGTTGATTTTTGTATATTGATCTTATACCTTATGTCCTTTTTTGGATTCATGTATTAGTTCTAGTAAATTTTTTTATGGATTCCTTAGGATTTTTCAAGTATAAGATTATCATTTGCAGATAAATACACTTTTTACTTCTCTCTTTTCAATCTGGATGCCTTTAACTTGTGTGTATGTGTGTAGGGGTGTATGTCTCATGCACTGGCTAGAACCACCAGCACAATGTCGAATAGCAATGGTAAGAACAAATAGACATCTGCCTTATTCCCAATCTGAAAGGGAAAGCATTTGGTTTTTTGCCATTAACTATAAGTTTAGTCATAAGTTTTTTCCACAGATGTCCTTTATCAGGCTGAAGAAGTTCCTCCTATTCCTAGTTTGTTACTATATATTTTTTTAATGATGAATAGGATTTTGTTAAATAATTTTTCTCTGACTATTGAGATGATCATTAGGGACTTGTTCTCTATTCTGTTAATATGGTGTATTACATTAATTGATTTTTGAATGTTAAACCAACTTTGCATTCCTAGGATAGATCCCACTTTGTCATGGTATGTAATCCTATTTATGTGTTGCTGAAGTTAGTTTATAATGTTTTTTGCAATTTTTGGGGTAATTTTTTTGCATCTATTTTCAAAAAGAATATTGGTCTGTAGTTTTCTTTTTTCATGATGTATTTTGTTTGGCTTTGGTATCAAAGTTGGTTGGTATTATTTTTGTCTTTAAATATTTGATAAGAGTTACCAGTAAAGCCATCTGAGCCTGGGCTTTTCTTTATGATAAGATTTTAAACTACTCTTTTAACTTTTTTACTTGTACATATATTAAGTTTTATATCCTATTGAGTCAGTTTTCATAATTTGTATCTTTTTAGGAATTTGTCCATTTCATTTAAATTGTTTAATTTGTTGGCACAAAGTCACTCATATTATTCTACTATAATTCTTTTCATTTCTGTAGGGTCTTTGTAATGGGGCCAGGACGAGGGTGAGACAAGTGAGGTGCCAAAGGTGCAGAATTTAAGGAGGTGACGCACTCACAGGTGTTAGCCTTGTTTTTGCCTGACTCTGCCTCTCTAAACTTCGCATCCTAAGTGCCCTGCTTGACTTATCTACTTATCCTGCTCAGAAGTGATGTTCCCTCTTTCATTCCTGATTTTGGTAATTTCTTTTTTTTGTGTGATCAATCTGGGTAAAAGTTTGTCAGTTTTATTAATTTTTCATCATTTTCATTAATTTTCTCTCGTCTTTCTGTTTTCTATTTCACTGATCTCCACTCTCACCTTTAGTATTTCCTTGCTTTTGCTTGCTTTGAATTTAGTTTGCTCTTTTCCCTAGGTTCCTAGGGTGTAATCTTAAATTACTGATTTGACATGTCTTTTTTTTTTTTTTAAATAAAGGCATGTAAAGCTATTGATTTCCTTCTGTGACCTGCTTAGGCTACATCCCATGAACTTTGTTGCATTTTTGTTTTCTTTCAGTTCAAAATATTTTGTAATTTCCTTTGTGATTTCTTCTTTGTTATTTAGAAGTGTCATATTTAATTTCCAAATATTTGCAGATGTCGAAAATTTCTCAGTTGATTTCTAATTTGATTCCATTCTCTTGTGGTCAGAGAACATTCTTTATGTGATTTCAGTACTTTTAAATGCACTTTAAGACTTGTTCCATTGTCTTGCATATGATTTATCCTGAAGAATGATCTGTGTGCACTTGAAAAGAACGTAGGTAAAGTGTTCTATAAATGTCAGTTTAGATCAAGGTGGTTGATATTGTTTTCAAGTCTTCTATATTCTTGCTGATTCTCTACCTAGTTCTGCTACTAACTGAGAATAGAATATTGACAGTTTGGGGAGAGGAGGATGATGGGAGCAGCTCCAGGCAAGAATGTCAGAATCCCAGTTGTTGCTGTTGTTTTTTAATTGAAGTACAGTTGATTTACAATATTGTGTTAGTTTCAGGTATACAGCAAAGTGATTCAGTTATATAAACTCTTTCAGATTATTTTCCATTATACTTTGTTACAAGATATTGACTATAGTTCCCTGTGCTATATAGTAAATCCTTATTCTTATCTATTTTTTGTGTGGTAGTTTGTATCTGTTAAACCCAAACTCCTAATTTATCCTTCCCCCAATCCCTTCCCTCTTTGGTAAACAGAGGTTTTTTCCCTATGTCTGTAAGTCTGTTTCTGTTTTTGTGTATAGATTCATTTGTATTATTTTTTTGATTCCACATTCTCTTTTTCTTAGTTAGCCTAGCTAGAGGCTTATCAATTTTATTGATCTTTTCAAAGAACCAGATTTTGGTTTCCTCTATTAAGTTCCTGTCCTCAATTTCATTGATTTCTGCTCTAATATTTATTTCTTTTCTTTTGCTTACTTCACATTTAATTGTCTCTTCCCTTTTTGGTTTCTTAGATGACTGATTTTAAGTCATTCTTTTTTCTCCCTATTGTATGCATTTAGTGCTATAAATTTCCCTGTAAGTACTGCTTTCATTGCATCCCACAAATTTTGATAAGTTGTACTTTCATTTATATTTAGTTCAAAATATTTTACAATTTCTCTAGAGATTTCTTCTTCAACCCATGCATTAATTAAAAATGTGTTGTTTAATCTCCAAGTATTTTGGGATTTTCCAGCTATTTTTCTATCATTGATTTCTAGTTCTACTATTTTAATTCTATTGTCATCTGAGAGCATACATTATATGATTTCTATTTTTAAAAAAATTTTTAAACTTGTGTTTTATAGCTCAAAACATGATCTGTGTTGGTGTATATGCTGTGGGTTTATTTATAAGACATTAACAAAAATCCTTTATAGCCATATCTTTATTTGAACAGTTTTCTGTAATAGCTAGGAGAATACAGAATTAATGATGCACATTTACTAAGTACAACATTAGACAACTACAAATTTAGAGCGTAAATGTCTATCTGATATTGTTTTGGTTTTCATCTTAGCACTAGGTGATATCTATTGAAAATCCATGTTTCAAAGTCTTTTGTTGAATTATTAACTTACTTTTAAAAATTCCATGTGAGATATGCTGGGGTGGGTTCAGTTCAAAACTAGTGTTTGTTGATAATGCTTTTCACTTCTCAAGACTTTTTCTTCCTTTCTAATAGATGAATATTTTACCTAAGGACTTTTCAAAGATTAACTATATCATGTTTTTCTATGTAGGTCAAAGCAGAATTCCTTTTCCAGATCCAACAAGGAAAAATATTTGAAAAACTGTAATGTTCAATATCATGGTAGTTAAAAGGCATATCCATTTCACAGTAAATTAACAATTAAAGTTAGTAAGTGAAATACAATACACTATATGTCATAAGCTCATTTCTGTGCAACATTGTTAGAGCAATTTAAATTTTCCAAGGACACAAGAAAGGTAACATTCCTCTAGGCTTCCACAAAAATACATAACTAGTAATCATAAATTATAACACATGTATCCACATTTAAAGGAAAAACTCACCATTTGTTGGAAAAAATTAAATGGCTCAAGTGATGTAAAGAGCCTGAAATGTAAGCTAAAACTTTAAAAAATATAGTAACAATAAGATATTTGAAACTACTGACTCTGAAAAATGCTTGCAAGTGAACTGACCTACTAAGCATTGAATTATACACACCGGCTTCAATGCAAAAAACATTTTTCTTTCAAGTACTTCAAGCAACAATACAGTACTAACAATCTGTTAGTCATTTTCAGGCATTTTATGAATCTAATAACACCCATTAAATTGAGCTCATGAACATTTCGGCTGGACCAAATTATAAAATTAAAAAAATGTATAAAATGCATTTTGGCAGCTATTTTACATAGTGCTTTTAAGTTCCTGATCTATTGAGAAAACTACTGTAGCTCCAGGTTGATTTAATTTAGGGTAATACAGTGGATTAGACTTTCTAGCACTTTCTTGATTTTACTTCATCTTTTATATAGCAAAAGGTTCTTAAAAAAATTTTTTTAACTAATGTCCATGAAAGGTTTTACAGTTGTACCCTTTAGCTTCACAAAGAAAAGTCGGCGGAAAGCAAGCCATTTAAGTATTACCAAGAATCTAACTTATCTCTGTATTTTCCCACATGTTCATTTGCTTATTTGTGACAGAGCCTCCAAACTCGAGAACACTCTGTAAGCCCACATTTCACTGGCTCTGAGATTGTTGCTGCCTCAGAGTTCTCTCTCATACCTGTTTGGAAATAAGGGAAAAGAAAGGAAGGAGAAGTAACAGGGAGGGCCGGGGCGGCTGCTGGGGTCACGGGGAAAGGGAAGAAAGGGAGAAAGGAGGCTGCACCCACCTTGACAAACTGGGCAAGATAGCCTTTCCAGGCAGGACATCCCCTTCACAGAGGAGAAGTTTCAGAGAACTTAAGGCAGCACTAGGAGGTGAGGGAGCAGGGGTTAAGGCGGCCCCCACAGCGCAGCCTGAGAAGAAATCACAAAGCATTTATCTACACATAGAGCCCCTCTGCACGCGGCGCACACAGCACACCTCCTGGCTCCAAAGGCGGCACCAGCAGCGTGCACACACGGTCACGTTCACACACACTGACTGGCTGGCATGCGCCTGCCCGCCGGGGAGGACGGCCCTCAGAGGGGCCCCAGCGGCGCGGCCCGCGGCTGCGGCCGCCCTGCAGGCTGCCCAGCCCACCTGGGGGCTCTGACGGCGACTCTGAGGGCTGCGTGTTGAGGGTGACCTTCCTCTTAACTCTTGGGAGGCTTGCAGGCTTCCTGTCAGGCTGGGACCGCCTGCTGTTGCTTCATGACCCAAACCCGGAGTACTGCCCCCTCCGGGGCGGCGGGGAGTGGGGAGCAGCCGTCAAACCTAGTCACAGCGGGTAACTACCGCACAAAGGAAACCACTAGGCGCCCCTTCTCGTTAGCTCCAAGAACTCGGGGCTCGGCACTTGGAGCTTCCACCTGCCAGCTGCCAACTCTGATAAGGAAACAGAGCATCTCTTGCTGAGTCAGGGCACCGCATGGGTACCAGGAAGCAGAGAACGGAACCTCACGACTTTTTAAAGTCTCCTGTCCCCATGTGCCTTCGCTGCCACTGCTGCATGTGGTACAACTGCACAGCTGGAGGGCCGAGGGACCTTAGGCAAGGCGCTGACCTCTCTCTCTCTCAAGTTATCATCAGCAAAGGATGGCAGTAGCTCCCCTTCTTACTTTCTGGGGCTGCTGTGAGGACACATTGGGTCACACAGAGAAAGCGCACTGAAGTAAAGCAGAGCCAGACACACGGTACTGTTTCAACACTGCCTTTCACCAGAACTGAAGGGCCACACGTGAAGTTTTGCTTTCTGTTTTATTCCAAACAGTTGAACTTACCCAGAGAGTCCTTGATTATACCTCTGGGGAATTCCACAGACTGCAGACTCTTGTGTGTGTGCGTGTGTGTGTGACAGAGAGAGAGCCTGTGAGGACATTGCAGGGTGGTGGCAGGTGCCTCTTTACCTAGAGTTACCAGGAAACCAATTTCTCACAACAATCACTATACTGAAATTCTAATAAAATAAAATATTTTCATAGCCCCTGCCATTGTTATTAAAAGACTTGATCTGTATTATACATAATTACTCACCCAGAAAGAGGCAACTCTCAATTATCCATTGTAATGAAGCAAATAAAAAAAGCAAATGACGCAAACTGACCCCAGTCCCCACATCTCCTATCGGCTGGCTTTGGAATATATATTTATATGCAATATTATATGCAGTTGATGGAAGTGTCAGGTACATGGGGAATTTTTAAAACTTCAAAAGGAATCATGAAGCTATACTTCATGGATTTTACCCCATATTCACCTTCCTCGTTCATTATAGTTACTCTCAGGCAGACCAATGCCTTAACCTAAGAAAAGCTACAAGAAGGAAAACTTCTAATTTTTCAGCTTCGCTTTCCAAGGTGTGAGCTGAATCTCTGTAAGGTGAGTGGGGAGGAGACTGCTGAGAAGGGGCTATTGAGACAATGAACCATTGTTTTTTCAAGATCTTTCTTTGAATTCCTATTGGGTGTCAAAGAGGAATTATGAAAAAGCAAATCAGTGATAATGCTAAAGGCTGTACTGCGGAGAAGTAAGAGTGACAAGAACTTGTGCAAGATTGGTCTGGCAGGCCAAAAGGGCAGCCGAGGACTAACTCCATCCACTGCCTTCAATGCAGTCAGAGCAGGTGAGTAGACAGGCGATGGGATACATGGTTTGCTTGAGGGAAGGGGAAGAGTGAACAGATAAATGGGTGGTAGATAGACTGGAGGGCTGGTGGAGATGTGTTTGAAGCTGGGTGAGAAAGTGTGGATGGACAGATGTAAGGGTGAGAAGTCCTCCAAGTGGCCAAAAGATACCCACAGTCAGCAGTATATCTTGCATTCGCAAGAAAGTAGTACACAGAGTGACTTTCCAGGACTTGGGGTTCCCTGGTTGTAAGGTATTTTTGTTATGACCAAAGATCTTCGGGCCACTAAGAGAAATTGATTCAGATCCCCACCTGGGGTTCTGGGTGGGCCTTGGGGGAAGCTGGCATGAGCCCTGAAATACCATAATCTTTTGTGTGGCCATCCCCGAGACAGCAGACTCTGGCCCAGGAGTGGAACAGAGGCTCCAGCACTTCGCAGCAGGAAGATGGGCGACAGGAGGGAGAGAAAGACCCAGAACGAGACACACTTCAGGACACGAGCTATCTGGGGGAAAGATAAGGGGCTGCAATGGCAGCGGAAGCTGAAGTGTGACCTTGAAGACCCGCCAAGACTCAGGGTGTGCAAGAACATGCTGCCGAGGGCCGAGCTGGGAGAGGGCCTGGGAGGATTTCTAGGGCTGAGGGGCAGCGCCTGCAAGCACGGTGGCATTTTTGAGGCTTCTCTCCCACCCAAGTCCCATCTATGCTCTTAGACTCTGATGCATTCAGTACTAACCAAATGTTTTCAACAGTTCATTGTTCACTGAAAACCACATGGACAACCAGGGAAAACTGAGAGAATCTGATGGAGTTAGTAGTGGTTTTGGTTGGTTTTACAAATGAATAAATGTATCTGACCTGAACAGAGCAGTTCACGATTCAGTAAAAATTACCTAAACTAATTAACTTTCTAAAAGCATGTAAGGAAATGTACATTTAAGAAATATAGCTACACAAACCTGTGATTTTACATTTTACTGATCTGTCAGAATTAACAGGCACCAAACAGCAGTCTTTCCACCAGGGGATGACCTGACTGAGTAACTGCAGCTCGTTTCTCTACGGTCCAAGTATTGAGGGGAGAGAACTTTAGATGTGGAAGGGACCTTAAGAAATAGCTAACACTCCTTATATAAATGAGGAATCTGAGGCCCAAATAAGTTAACAGACAGTATTTATCTTTTAATAACAATCTTTATCACTGATTTGAAAATGTTCTACTTCCATTAATAATATTGCACATATTTTAATAAGATGTCATTTTTGTAGATCATCTAACAGTTAAGTTATATAAATCTATGATTGTAATTCAGAACCAGAGTTTCTAATGAAAGCTAAGAATTTGCTTTAGCACAACCTGAAACACTTATTGAATAAGATTTGTAGGAAAATGGAGAATGTGTTTAACTGGGATTTCAGGATGAAAACTTACAGAATCTGGGTCTTAGTAAACCAAATCCTCTGTAAAATTCAGTAATCTTCTTATATTTTTGTATAGGTCTTACAGTATTTCTAATGTGATGCTCTTTAAAGTATCTAGTGGTACTGAGGACATTTATAGAAGTTATAAAGCCTAAAAAAAACTGAATCATAATTACTTATGATATACTTTCTTTTGCATAATTTATAAAATAAGACCTAAATCATGAAAACTCTGATAATCCTCTCTAGATAGTGACTGAGATTAATTCTTAATAAATTAAGAAGAAAGAAACCCTGTCAAGGAATCAGATCTGGTAACTAAAAATCAGTCACGTCACAGAACACGGAACCCTGATGTGATACCCACCAGGGAAAATTAATGAGCACATCAATGTAACACATTCCGAATAAATGACATCAGCAATAGCCACCCTGCCTAATCCTAGCCCTAAATGTCAACTTCTGTCATGTTACCTCACGACTGCCCAGTGTCTGCCACTCGTGCAGGTGGATCTGTAGATATGTGCACATAATCCAGTTAAAACTGTGATCTGATTGAACTGTAAACAGAGTTGATAAAAGAGAAGCTTATCACTGTAGTGTCTAACATGAATACCACTTACATTTTAAAGAACGTAGTATGTAGCAGCAATTTAAAATGCTCAGTAAACTACGGTATAGACAGACTTCCATGCGCTATAGCAAACCAACATTCTCTTAATATCTCTACATCATAGTGACACATAGAAGGGAGCTACTGGACCATTTACTTTACATATTGCCAGTTTATTTCTTTGTTCCTCTTTGACAGTATCAACATTATTGATTCCTAAAATGACATGGTATGTACTCAATGGTAATTTTTCCTTTCAGTTCTTCTGGTTAGTGCACGGGAGGTTCCTTGTTGGTGCCTTCCTAACAACAGCTCATATTTGGAATTTATGTGGTTTTTTTTATATCATTCAGATGCCGTGGTAAGTATTTAAAATAAATGCTGTCAGCTGAAGACACATTTTTTTCCTTCCTTCTGTCATTCAACTGCAGATACCTAACTGACCAAGGATGAGTGTTGTTATAAAGGTAACACAACACGAAGGAGCCTATCTTCCTTTCCACGGTGATGGAAAGTATTCCAGGGAGATTTCCAGTCAATAACCCCTTGTTTGGGAGATGATCAGTACTATCTCTTCAAAAATGTGTTTTCAGTAGCTCACTTGAAATAATGGGTTCTTATTTCAGGCAAGAAATGCATTGTCAATGTTTGCCGTGATATCATTTTCAGACCCGTGATATGAATCCCAGGCCCAGGCTGGCTGGAATCTGGATGGTTTCTAGCGCGAGGGAGGATGGGTTAAAAGGAAAGGTGACAGGAAAGATGTGTTTAGCATCCATGAGCAGCTGAGGGGAGTCTTTCCTGTCTCGTAAACGCATCTGAGAAGATTAAAAAAGAAAAACAAAAAAAAAGCATCAATTTTATGAATCTATAAAGTTGTTTTTTTTTTTGCCAAAATTTTACCAAAGAATTACCAACTAATGAAAATGTTTACATTTGTTTTAAAATCACTTCATTTTTCCAATAAGGTGTTATCAAAAAAGTTAATACTCTATAAAAACAAGATAAAATTATATGCCCAGGGGACCTTACCTGTATAGTACGAATAAATGATACAGAGACTCTTTCTTCAAATTCATTAACTGGAGTATACAAATTCAACACTTTGACAATCTGTGAGAAATAACATGATGAAAGTTTTTAGCATATTATCAAATATATGCTGGGTACAATCTGGAAAACTAAAAGGATCTCTGCATACAGTTCTACTCAGGGCTTGGTTAGGGCAAGAGAGGAGAGGGAGCTGGTCTGAAGGCCATTTACCTTTATTATTCAAATTTTTACAATAAGAATGTATTAATGTAATATACATTTTAAGAAGCAGTATAAATTTGAAAAAGCATGAAAAGTGACAGTACCCCCACTCCTATCCTCTCAAAGTGGCAACAGTTGAGTGTCCTGAGTATTCAGCTAGTCACTTTCTATACATATTCTGTGTATGATCTATGTAAGATTTCTATGTTTTGAGATAAGTGATGAACATTAAAAAATCCAAGAGTCAGCACAGAACTAACTGGGCAAAAGGAAAGTGGGCATGTTTACGCATATGCCTTGTATTCCATGCAAATTAAAAAAAAGCTGGGGTAGCAAACATATCAGTAAGATATATAATATTTATATCAGTAAGACTTTATCAAAATAGACTTTAAAACAAAGACTGTAACAAGAGACAAAAAAGACATTACATACTGACAAAGGGATCAACTCAGCAAGAAGATACAACAATTATAAATACATATACACTCAACATAGGATCACATGAATACACAAAGCAAATATTAACACACATAAAGGCAGAAACTGACAGTAACACAATGAAAGTAGGAGACTTTAACACCCTATTTACACTAATGGGCAGATCATCCAAACAGAAAACCAATAAGGAAACACTGGCCTTAAATGACACATTAGATCAAATGGTGGAATACACACACATACACACACATATACATACACTACACACACACACACACACACACACACACATATATACAAAACATTCCATTCAAATTCAGCAGAATATACATTATTTTCAAGTGCACATGGGAAATTCTCCAGGATAGGTCACACGTTATGCCACAAAACAAGTCTCAATATATTTAAGAAGACTGAAATCATATCAAGCATCTTTTCCAGTCACAATGCTATAAGACTAGAAGTAAACTATAAGAAAAAAAACTTGAAAAAACACAAACATGTGGAGGCTAAAAAATATGCCACTGAACAACCAATGAGTCAAATCAAAGAAGAAATTTAAAAAATACCTAAAGACAAATAAAAATGGAAACACAATGATCAAGATCTATGGAATACAGCAAAAGCAGTTCTAAGAGGGAAGTTCGTAGCAATACAAGCCTACTTTGGAAAACAAGAAAAATTTCAAATAAACAAACCTTTTACCTAAAGGAACCAGAAAAAGAACAAACAAAATCCAATGTTACTAGGAGGGAAAAAAAAGATCAGAGTGGAAATAAATGAAATAGAGACTACAAAACAAAACAAAACAAAACAAAAAACCCAAAACCTGAAACAAGTCAATGAAAGTAAGAGATGATCCTTTGAAAAGATAAACAAAATTGATGAACTATTAGCCAGACTCAAGACAAAAAGAGAAAGGGCCTAAATAAACAAAATCAGAAATGAAAGAGACGTTACAACTGACACTACACAAAAAAACCATGAGATTACTATGAATAATTATATACCAACAAAATGGACAACCAGGAAGAAATGGAAAAATTCCTAGAACTGTACAATCTGTCAAGACTGAATCAGGAAGAAATAGAAAATAGGAGCAGACCGATGACCAGTAATTAAATTAAATCAGTAATCAAAAAACTACCAACAAACAAAAATTTAGGACTAGATGGCTTCACAGATTATTTCTACCAAACGTAAGAGTTAACACCTAAATCTATCTCCTCAATCTGTTCCAAAAGAATTGAAGAGGAAGGAACACTTCCAAATTCATTCAACAAGCCCAGCATCTTCCTGATACCAAAACCAGACAAAGTCACCACAAAAAAGAGTACAGGCCAACATCACTGATGAGCATAGTTGCAGAAATCCTCAACAAAATATCTGCAAACTGAATTCAGTTGTACATTAAAAGGATCACACACCATAATCACGAGAGATTTATCCCAGGGATGCAAGTATGTTTCACTATTCACAAATCAATCAATATGATACACCACATTAACAAAGTGAAGAATAAAAATCATATGATCATCTCAATAGATGTAGAAAACTTTTTGAGAAAATTCAATATCCATTTATGATAAAAACTCTCAACAAAATGCATACAGAGGGAATATACCTCAACATAGTAAAGGCCTTATATGACAAACCCACAGACAACATCATAATCAACAATGAAAAGCTAAAAGCATTTCCTCTAAGATTAGAAACAAGACAAGGATGCCCACTCTTGCCACTTTTATTCAAAATGATATTGAAAATATTAGCCACAGAGATTAGACAAGAAAAAAAAAGTGAGAAGAATCCAAATCAAAACGGAAGAAGTAAAACTCACTGTCTGCAGATGACACAATACTATACACAGAAATCCTTAAGATGCCACCAAAAGACTATTAGAACTAATAAAGGAATTCAGCAAAGTTCCAGGATAAAAAATTAATATACAGACCACTGGTGTTATTTCTATACATTAATAATAAACTATCAGAGAAATTATGAACATAATCCCATTTACAACTGTGTCAAAAAGAATAAAATACCTAGGAATAACTCTAACCAAAGAAGTGAAAGACCTGTATTTGGAAGAGACACTGATCGAAGAAACTGAAGATGATACAAACAAGATGAAAGATATATCAGGCTCATAAATTGGAAGAATTAATATGGTTAAAATAAACATACTACCCAAGGCAACTACCATATTCAATGCAATCTCTATCAGAATACCAAAGGCATTCTTCACAGAACAAAACAAATAATTCTAAAATTTGTAAGGAAACCCAAAAGACGCTCATTAGCCAAAGCAATTTTGAGAAAGAAGTACGAAGTTAGAGGTATCATATGCCCTGATTTCAAACTATACTACAAAGCTACAGTAATCAAAACAGTATGGTACTGGCACAAAACCTGACACATAGATCAATGGAATAGAAAGGACAGCCCAGAAAAAAAAGACTCTTTCATGGTCAATTAATCTACAATAATGAGGCAAGAATATACAACATGGAAAAGACAGTCTCTTCAACAAATGGTATTGCAAAAACTGGACAGCTACATGCAAAAGAATCAAACTATTTTCTCACACCTCTTAGAAAAATAAACTCAAAATGGATTAAAGACTTATATGTAAAACCTTAATCTCTTAAAAGAAAACACAGGCAGTACATTCTTGACATCAGTCTTAGCAATATTTTTTTGGATCTATCTCCTCAGGCAAGGGAAGCAAAAGCAAAAATAAACAAACAGAACCACATCAAACTAAAAAGCTTTTGCCTAGTGAAAGAAATTATCAACCAAATGAAATGGAACAACATATTTGCAAACGATATATCTAATAAGGGGTCAATATCTAAAATATACAAAGAACTCTTACAACTCAAATCATAAAAACAAATGACTTGATTAAAAAATGGGTGGAGGACCTGAAAAGACATTTTTCCAAAGAAGACATACAGATGGCCAACAGGCACATTTTTCATGGCTCAGCATCACTAATGACCAGAAAAATCCAAGTCAAAACCATAATGAGGTATCACTTCACACTGGTCAGAATGGCTATCATCAAAAAGACAACAAACAGTAAGTGTTGGTGAAGATTTGGTGAAAAGGGAGCCCTTTGTATACTGTTAGTGGGATTGTAAATTGGTGCAACCAGTATGGAAAACAAAACACTAATTTGAAAAGATATATGCACCCTTCTGTTCATTAAAGCATTATTTACAAAAGGCCCAGATATGGAAGCAATCTAAGTGTCTACTGATAGGTAAATGGATAAAGAAGATTGGTACGTGTGTGTGCGCGTGTGTGCACGTGCGCACGCACGCACGCACACACACAGAGGAGTATGACTTAGCCACAAAAAGGAATGAAATCCTGCCATTTGCAACATGAATGGGGCTTGCAGACGATATGCTAAGTGAAATGTCATACAAAGATAAATACTGCAATATCTCACTTATGTGTGGAATCCAAAAAACAAAACAAAGAAAGAAACAAAAAAAAATGACAACAGACTCACAGATACAGAGAACAAATGGATGGTTGCTAGAGGGGAGGGGCATGAAGTGTGTGAAGCAGGTGAAGGGGATTAGGAGGTACAAACTTCAGTTCTAAAATAAATGAAGCATGGGCATATGTCTACAACATAAGGAATACAGTTAATAATATTGCAATAACTGTATGGGGACAGATGGTTGCTAGATTTACTGTGGTTATCATTTCACAATGTATTCAAATGTCAAATCACTGTGCAATATACCCAAAATTAACATCATATTATACATCAACTATATTTCAATTTTTTTTAAAGAATTATCTTTCTTAAAGTAGAAAAGTCTAAAGAATCAATTCTCAACTAATACGGAAAATTCTCTTATGGAGTACAAGCTCCACAGAATGCATAGAATGTACACCCTGTGAAACAGGGTCTGTTTTGTAGTGGTTTTATCTTAGTGTCTGGAACATTACACAGGATGCTGGAAAGCATGGATAACTATTTAATGAATGTTAACTGTGGATGACTGTGACTAATCCTGAAATCTACTTTCTGGTAAAATCTTTCTTCAAGATCTGTAGTGTATCTCTGACACGCATGAAGTCAGCTCAGAGACAAGGGCAATAGCTAGATGCCTTCTTTAGTTCCCTAAAAATCACCTGTGATGAATGTTAAATCATTCCAGAAGAGGGAAAGGTGTTTTACCTGGGCAGTAGTTAGAGCATTGCACATGGAACAAATGGCTTCTGCATCATCATCTGTTTTCTTTTTCACTTGCAAAAGCTGAGCAGCCTGAATGAGAGGTTCCAGGGTTTCCTTAGCTCCACTGTTCATCAGATTCTTGTCACGCAGCCACTCTTCTAGCTGACTGACATTGTACCTATGCCAAAAAGAAGGGGGGTGAGTGCAACTTTACTGAATGTCATCAAACTCCAAGCTCCTGGACTGAATAGCAAGATTCTCACAAAGACCCTGCGCTCTGGCCTTCTTTGGGGAAGAGCCTGGGTGATGGAGGCAGGGGCCTGAAGAACCTTAGGGATGAGAGGCAAGAAGGGCATGTGGGGGCCGTGCGAAGAGACAAAGACCTCAGATATGGAGAGAGACACAGAAACTACACAGATGCTAAGGTTTCAAAAGGTGGTCAAGCAAGTGACAGTTGTTCTCAAACAAGAGTGAGGTAAATGGACCCACAGTCAAGACATAGTAATCAGGCAAAGGGGGGATTCACAGGTATAAACAGAGCTTGTAACAAATAAATTCTACGGCCTGAGTGGGAGGCATTATCCTCTTAACACTATCTACAATGGATGTGAGTCAGAATGGAAAATTTGAAGAGAATGCCAAGGTTTTCTGAGACTGACTACAGGCTTTTGTAGGAGAGATCCTTTTTCCCTCTTGGTGATTTTTCTAGCTGTTTTAAAATAAATTATTTGCAAAGAAAATTCTATTATGCTAGTAAGGTTATGCTGAGGAGTAGCCGGACAAAAAATTGAGCACATCTTTTCTTAAAATAGAGAGGGGCATATTTTAAGCATTAGTAAAAGATCTAGTGGACGTGTTCTTATGGCCATAGGTGCAAAAAGATATTCTGTCAAAATAAATTTATTAAGTGCAATCAAACATTAGAAATCTTCATTATAGTTCTGGGGGGAGGGTATAGCTCAAGCAGTAGAGTGCATGCTTTGCATGCACTAGGTCCTGGGTTCAATCCCAGTACCTCCTCTAAAAATAAATAAATAGATAAATAAAACAAATTACCTCCCACCCCCCAAAAAAGAAAAAAAACTTTATTACAGTTTGATATTTTGTTATTGTACAATTAAAACACACACAAAAGGAGAGAAGCAGCTATGTCATCTTTATGTGATTTTCACCATCTCTACTCCCTCAAATGAGTTAGCTTCACTTGGAGCTGGGTTCCTAACAAGCAGCAAGTTGAAAGGCACAGCCAGGAGCAATCACAAATCACAGCCAGTCAAGAGGAAGTGGCTCCATGTCTGGTCCTCTTCCCTTGCTGCTCGGCCAGGGGTGGCAGCCCTTGGGTGCACTGACCCCACACAAGCCATGGACTCTCCGCGCCCTGGCGGGCAGTTGGCCAGCATGAAGAGGCCAAGCAGGTGTTGGTGTTCACTCACCTGATCTGCATGCCTTTACTCCAGGAGCACATGTCCTTCCGCAGGAGCAGGTTGTTCAGGGTGATGGCCCCCACGATGTAGAACATCTGCTTAACCACCTGCTTGATCAGCTCGGGGTCCATGCCATGCTGACACATGACCGAGTGGAAGGAGTTGAGCTGCCGCAGGATGGAGTCCAGTGTGTAGGTGCCCTCGTCGGCAATGCTAGAGGTTCGCTTTCTTAGTCCTGTGGGCTTCACCCCAGACACGCCCTGAATGGTTTCATGCTCCAGCATGCCAGACACTGCAGGAGAAGTTCAACTGTCAGAAAAGATTTGGAAGGAAATGCACACACGCACACGCGCACACACACACACACACACATACACAAACAGACACAGACTCAGACACACACACACATTCAACTTTAGGAAAATGATTTGAGCATCAAAATAGAGGGAAAAGGAACTTCAAATAAAAGGGTTCCTAGATTTTAAACTTTAACAAGAGAATAATTCTTAAATGCAAAAAATTACCGTCGAATTAGCAAATCTTAATGGCCTATTTTCTAAAATATGAAGCAACAGTCTTGTAATAGAACACATGTGTGGTATCTAGGAAGGGCTTTTGAGAGAGGCATGGAGCAGTCAGGGAGAAGATAAGCATTCTCCAGTAATGTCTGAGCCCCAGAGGCAAACAAATCAGGTAGCAAGAAAGGCAGGAGAACATGAGGTGCTCTTGGAGAAGACTGGGGAGAGGGCTGTGGGGCTGGAGAGCTGGGCCCTTCCTTGCCCTGAGCTTCCCAGAACAGCAGGGAGACCTCGGGCTGCCCTTAGTCTCCCAGGACTTGGACCCCGCGTCTTGGGCACGCTGCTCCCTCCACTGTGCTCTCCTAGCATCTGGCTTATGCCTCCCAAAGGACGGTTCTGGAATGCCCACCCCGTGGACTGGGAGCCCCCTGAGAGCAGGGGCCGTTCTCGATTCACTGTTACATGTCCTAGAGCTAAAGACAACTTCCACAGGCCCTCACACTGACTCAAAACATTTGTCACCATAAAATCACTGGGAGGTGGGGCTAGTGGTTTAAAGTGTGACACCTAAAGGTAAATTTCTTATTTAGCCAATAAAACCAGGCAAAAGTAGGAAAGAATTGGCTGAAGCTGACCTTCTCTGCATCTGTGTTACTTCTTGCATTTTAGCTGACCTAGGTTGCTTTAAATTCATGATCTTTCGGGGGACAACTGAAGATATCATTGCCATCTCCCATGGCTTCCGCAATCTTCTAAGTTTCTAGTTGGTTAACTGTGGGCCTACAGTAGAAAATGGAATACCAGCAGCCCACAGAGGTGAAATGAAATGTGGAAAACACATGGATGAGGAAGAAAGGGTAGCTGGGAGTAGCCTTAAGAGGCTGTTGATACTTTGCCTGAAGATAACATAGTTTGGTAATTTAAAATTAAAAAAAAAATTCAATGCATTCAAAATTAACAGCCGGCAATATGCACATGCCTCCTAATTCCTATTTCACACCTGCTACACATTCCAAAGGAATATAGGTAGCATGATACAAAAATACACAAGCAGACTGAGTGCACACATATAAAGAAAGGAACATGGAATGACACATGTAGAAACACACACACACACACACACACCCTCAGTTGCTCATCCAATGAGAAACTGCTACTTAAAACCAAACTGCCTTTAACAACTCCACAGGCGCCATGAGATGCACACCTCAGCATGGAGCATCTGAGACCTGTTCTTGTTGCCATGGTACCTTCCCAGCCCTGTTACTGTACCCTATCAGGCAAAATGCAAACCCTTTCCAGCCTCCTTAGTTTTAGATGGGTCCCCAGGAAGCTCCGTGTAGTAGTGCTCTGGACCAAAGTTTAACGTGTTTTTGAGAACTGGACGAGGTATGAGGTCTACTGCTGGGTACAAAGTATAACCCCATCTTAAGGGAGAGATGTTACATGCTAGGGAGGAAAACTAGACACTGCCATCTCTATCATGTGGAGGCAGTGATTTTGATGGAGCCCACTTACTCATGGCTGGGATTCTGGGATTCCTCAGCTAATTTTGGGACTGAGTCCTACTGCCTTATGTTCTCCATATGAACACATGCTCTGAAACACGTGCCACTGATGGGCATCTACTGGTGGGCATTGAGATGGGCAGACCCCGACGTCAGCAATGCCCTGGCCTTACCGATCATTGGCTGAAGGATGTTCTCTAACACCCGCACGAGCTGCTGGTAGATCTGAATGGCCAAGTCACTTAGCACCTGCCGGTACTCAGCCAGGTCAAAATTGGTGAGGCAGTGTTCATTCTGGCGAGACGTGTTGTGTTTCATAAAGCCCTGGAGCCACAATGCAGAGTTAATGATACACACGAAATAAAATGTCTCCTACTTTGAGCAGCATCCGCATGCTCTTTTTTCCTTTCTCCAAAGAGCTTCCATCCATGCTACACATAAGTGCCAGGATAATCATTCTCAAATTCTGTGTGTGTTTGTTTCCATCATGTCTCCCTTCTGCTTCTCAATAGCATTTGAATAATATCTAAACTTGGCAGCCTAGCATTTAAGCCTTTTCACTAGCAGTGTCAACAAAACAAGATGGGGGAACTTAATTTGAAAAAAAATTAAAGAGTGTTTTCACTTATAAAGAAACAGCTGGTTCACTGCCAAACACTAAATTATCTAAAGTACTAATCTCTTAACATTAGTTTACTATATATAGTCCATTTATAAATACTGCACCTTAAAGGCACACATAATCTTCTTAAAACAAAACTGATCAATTTCTACAGAGACTGGTGAATAAATAAAAAATTTCCCTGTATTATATTTCATGGTATCCACACATGATTCTCGGTTCAAGCTTAGAATGGAATCTTTTGGCAGTACTTGTTAAAATGGAAAGTCAGCTGTCTAGGCAGGTACTCTGGTCAGGGACTGCCCGACAAGAACAATTACCTACTTGATGGATTCTGCCCACAGTCAAGCATCTGCCTCCCTGCAACCTACTTACCAACATGGTCTAGAAGTGTGACTGACAGGACAGTTAATAGGCCCTCCGGGGGATTCTGGTCTGTCAGCCCCACCTGCTCAGGGACCATGTCTTGCTCACATTTGTATTTCCCATCATCTGTCAGACAGTCCTCTGCTCCTAGTCTCCAGGTGCTCAGAAAGTGCTACTGCTCAGCTTCTCTGCCTGCCCTCCCAGCAAAGGACTGGGGGACTCGGAGAGCAGTGGTCAGGGGCACAGGCTCTCAGAGGTGGGTAGACCCAGAATCCCAGGTCAGCTCCTTACGGCTGAGAGTACTTGGGCAAAGGGATGAACCTAATTGAGCTTCAGTTTCCTCACCTGTAAAACTGGGTTATAACTCCTACCTTATAGAGATGTTATAAGTATTAAATAACATAATGTGTAGCAAATGCTGTCTGATATATATGAATCAGTCCTTAATAAATAGTAAGTCCTAATAAATTACATAGTTTTGAAAGCAACTGATGAACACACCAACTGATGAGCTCACTACTGCATGCAAAGGCAAAACAGATTTTTGGACCAATCTAAAGAGACATGTCTTCATCACCTTTAATGTATTATGGCAAGCCAAAATTGACTAATTTCTTTAAATAGCTCAATATTCCTTTATTAGTCCTTGAAAAGCCCGCTTTCACATCTTTAAAAAAAGTTTCAGTGCTGGCAACTATTCACTGATCAGTGTTCATTTTATTTCTGCTATGCTTTCTCATAATAAAAACTCCTGGAGGGAAGAAACTACGTCATTCCCCACGTCACTGTTTTGTAAATAATACACATCAAACAAAGATACGAACTTTCAAGTCACCTCTGAATTCAGGTTTCTAAATTAACAAATGGTTAAACATTTTGTGCTTTAAGGCTCTTCCTTAAAAGGTCAGGGAAAGTACAGCATGATGGTTTTATAGTCAAGGTTTTCTCACCTCTTCTCCGCTGTACTGCTTCAAACAGTGCAAAAATCGGCATGTGTTAGAGAGCCAGAAGGAGACAGTTTCAAAATCATCACCTCTTTTCTGAAAGAGAGAATAAGCCTAAATTAGCTCTTTCTTTAGGGAAATAACAGCCTGAAAAAAACTGAACAGATACCAGAAGGCCCATTTCCTTCACTTACCATTAACAACAATTATAAAAATAAGAGTCTCATGCTCTACCGACTGAGCTAGCCGGGCGCCGACAATTATAAAAATAAATCACATTGCAGCTGTAAAGCCTTACATCACTGCTAAAGAATTTCAACCACTGGTTGGTTGTTACTTTGCTTAGCATCCGTTTTCTTGCCGTTAGAAAATGATGCCCATTCATTCAGATATTAGCTTAGCAGTCCCTTTAAGCAGAAGACAATTCACCAAGCCACAGTTTACCTAAACTCACTTCAGAGGGGAGGGTTACTGAAGGGAATCAGAAAGGACTAAAAGCACAAAAGGGAATCACAAATATTTGTGAAGCACTGAAACCCAGATTAGGTTAAAAATCTTCTCGATGATAAGACACAATTCTGAGCAGCAAATGAGAAACGGGGTGGAGGAAGTCCTGTGCAGAGCAGTGGAGAGCTTGCTCTTCTTCAGGACTGGGCCACATGTCAAACAACCTCTGCTAAATCAAAACAGGGATGCAAGACAAACACACTTCAGTTCAAAACAGGGATGTGAAACAAATGTACACCCACTTTAAATGGTATCAAAAGGGTGTTATGTTCTAGGACTTACTCCTTTTTAATCTTTAAACAATTTGGTACAATTATTAGTCAAGTTAGATAAATGCCTTCTTGCAATTAAAATGAGAAGGAAAAAACTTCATGATCTGGTTTTGTGGCCTTTGTAGGAGTTGACTTAAGGAGCAGTAAAACTCGTAGTCTATCTAAATGTAATACAGCATCAATACACCAAGAATTAAGTGAGTTACATTCAGAAGACATTCATCAATTTTTGAATGTAAATCTTCAGAAATTCCCCCACTTTAGTAACTGTAGAATGTGACTACACAGAATATCTGTGCAATAGGGACTGAGAACCAGCATTTTTCAAAAGTTATAACCAAGGGCTAGGGGGGTGAGTGTGTTTAATGGGTACAGAGTTTCAGCTGGGGAAGGTAAAAAAGCTGTGGAGATAGATGGTGGTGATGGCTGCACACCAATATGAATGCACTTAATGCCGAAACTATGCACCGAAAAATGGTTAAATAGTAAAATTTTAGTTGTGTATGTTTTATCACAATTTAAAAAAATTGTTCACAAAAGACATCCTAGATTTGAGAGAATCCAAGAGGCATATTAACTGTTCACTCATCCGCATCCTAAAAGCTCTCGTTAAGTTAGATAATCAGACAGCAAAGTACCCGGAGCACATTCTCTTAGCTCCTCACAGAAACAGTTGAGTTAAAACTAAGAATAATGTTCCTTGTTTCTCTAGAGTTGAGAGGATGATTATGCAATGTGACTCAGTGATTACTGGGTTATGTAGGGCTTTCTGTTCTGTTATATAATTTTGCTGCCTTTCCAAGTCCTTTCTCTCTGCTGAGCTTCCATGTGTTGCTCTCACATGGAACCAGGCACTTTAGGTAACAAAAAAAATTATGGGGTGAGTTGGAGAATAATGAGAAGAAAAGCTGGAAGAGAAATTTTTATGTCTTATCAGACCTCTTTTTATATGAATGAGCTATGTAGTACTGAACTTATTTAACACCTATTTTAACTAGAGCATCATATTCCCTGTATACATGAACTTCACTAAGTATTTTTAATTTAGTTCTAAGTAAGACCTCAAAGCAGACTATTTCTATAAAGCAACTTAATTTATTCCACAATTAAATGCAGATATATTAAATTAATTTTGATTACTGTTCAACTTGAGCCCTGTTTTGAAAAAAGGCACACAGACACGTTCCAAGAACGCCCGTTTCCTACAATGGCAGTTACCAGTTACGATTGGAAAGTGGCTGTAACTGGCAACTAAGTGCTCAAGCGTAAGGAAGGAAAAGTACCCCTGTGCAGACTCTGTCATCATTAATGTGCATTATGAGATTACTGTTGAACATGAACTGACCTTTAATACTTTTTTGATGCTGTTAATTGTTGATGTTAGCAACGACCTTACTTTCTGATCATCATTCAGGTAGTCAGCGTGTCGAACGCACATAAACAGGATATACGCTGGTAACCCTGGAATCAAATTGACTGCTACCCCACGTGGCTTCAATTCTAAAAGAAAGAGGAAAAATAGTCTTACATAACATAGAAAGCCTTCATAAGGAATACTTTTTGAGATATAAAAGCACAGTTGTCACGTAAGAGTTCAATCATTTAGGGTATATAGATCATATTAAAAAAAGCATATTTTAGTAGCTCATTAAGTGGAGAAATTCTTGAAGCTATGCAGGGATATATGAATCTCAGTTGTCTATAAAATGACAACTCCCAAATTTCTATCTCCTGCCCTGACTTCTCCTTCGAATTCCAGTCTCCTGTATCAACTCACTTTGACACCCCTGCCCATCCCCAAACAAACTCCTTTTTTTTCCAGTGTAGAGCACATTTTTCAGTTATACATGAACATATATATATTCATTGTTACATTTTTTTCTCTGTGAGCTACCATAAGATCTTGTATATATTTCCCTGTGCTATACAGTATAATCTTATTTATCTATTCTACAATTTTGAAATCCCAGCCTATCCCTTCCCACTCTCTGCCCCCTTGGCAACCACAAGTTTGTCTCAAACAAACTCTTGATTCCCTAGGAGCCTGCTCTCCCAGGGGTTGTCCCATCTCAGTAAATGGCAGTTCCTGTCTTCTAGTTTCTCAGGTTATAAACCTTATCATCATCCTTGATGTCTTTCCTTTTCTCATATCACACATCTAATCCATCAACAAATCCTGTAGGCTCTCCCCATAAAACATATCCAGAATCCAACCACTTCTCTACCAGCTACCCTAGTCTAGGCTACCATCATCTTCTGGACCATAGTGAGAGCTTCCAAACTGGTCTCCCTAATTCATCCCTTGCTCCCCAGTAGTTTTCCATACCACAACTGGGTTCAGAATTGTCATAGAATATTAGAAAATGTAGGTCAGATCATGTCACTCTTGTTCTGAAAATCTAAGTAGCTTCTGACTTCACTCACTTATAAAATCCAAAATTCTCACCACGGCTGTGTGATCTGGCCCTGTTCCCCTTCCCAGCTCACCATGCTCCAGTTAAATGGGTGTCCTCACTGCTGGCTGAACACCAGGCATGCTCGCACCCCAAGCCTATGCACTTTCTGTCTGGAATGTTCTTTCCTTAGATATCAGCAAGACTTGTTTCGTTACTTCTTTTGGTCTCTGTCCAAAGGCCACCTTATCAGAGAGGCCCATCCTAATAACTTTATATGAACTAGAACACCTGCCTTCAGTGTTTACCCTTTTCATCCCACTATTTGTTTATCTGGTTTTCTCTACCCACCCTCCTCCACTGGAATATAAACTCTATGAGAATAGAGACTTTACTTTGTTCATTACTCAGTACCTAGAAAGTGCTTAGTACACAGTAGGAGCTCACTAAATGTTTCTTGAATTGATGAATCTTCGTTTTAACTCTTATGCTTAAAAACCAGTAGCTTCTTAACATTTTTGCTAAATGAAGATCACATTGAAATTTAAGCACCTCTGCACCTATATATAGTACACAGTTGAATGCCATGAACCCTGGGAACATTAAATCAGGAATACTGCCGATCACATTGCTGTCACTCTGGTACCTGGGGGAGGAATATTATGCAAAGGCTGAAAGGAGAGATCTGCAGCGTTTCCAGTTCACAACTTACGGGCTGCATGCACTCCTGAACTACTTCCCACTCTCCCCTAAAATGTCTTGTAGAGCAAGTAGGCTCACATCTAAACTTAAAGGCCTTATGCTGCTCTGAAATACTTCTTTTATTCTTATTTCCTTTGTCAGGTCCTCTCCTTCCATTGCTGGGATCTTTTCCTTAATTCTTTTGTTTCTTCCCTATCACTGTTGTTCCTGACATACTTAGTCACTTACTTTCTAGGGAAGTAAGGAATTAATAGAAATTCAGGAACTTAAATGGCCAGAGTAGTGATATTCAACTGTGGCTATACTTCAGAATCCCGACCGATTAAAACACACACACATGCACACGCACACACACACACACACACCCCCCATGGACATGGCCAGGCTCCTTCTGCTAGACATTCTGATGTAGTCAGTCTGCAGTGGGGAACACACACCAATACTTTTCAAAAGCTTCCCAGGTTATTCTAACAGGCAACCAGAGCTGAGAAGGCCTGGCTTCAGGGGAGCCCAAGAGATGTCCCTGCTGTTTGACTGATGAGCATGATGTGGTCAGGAAGCTACTGCAGCACTATAGGCACAGTATGTGATGATGACTAAAGAAACCCGTGTTGAATATTTAATACATGAGTGACTAAGCTTTCCCACCACCGACACATGTACCAGAAAGACCTTTTATCTCACACAGAAAATACTTGCCCAGAATCAGGTTCTTAACAAGTTTTTGCTCATCTTCCTTCTTGTATTCCAGCATTCCTTGGAAATCCTTTTCTTTCCTGGGAATGTTGACTGGACGGATGGGTTCATCGATGATCTGTCCTGGAGATATGTTCTCCATCTGGCCCACTTCATGAGAAACAGAAAGAAGAAAAATGTTTTCCAGGTAGAAAAGATAAGAGGGTTCCATGTTCCTATAATTTTAAGTGAACTATGTAAAAAAAGAAACTTGCTGTATTTGCCACTTAATTATCCTTTAAGTATTTTTTTTTTGGTAAAATTGGGTGGATAGATGGCAAATTTATATGGTAATGTCACTCTGACAACTACTACTACTATCAACATCAAAGAAACTTATTTGATTCAAAAGCATTTTTTTTGTAATAAGGTTTACTTTGTAATAAGATTAAATGTCCCCAAAGTGGTTTAGATTCTTAGTTAACTAATGAATATCAATCATAAATGTCTAAATATATTTAGATTTTAATTCACAGAAGGAAAAAAACAATATTCTATAAAGAGGTAGCCAGAGTATAAAAGATTCTCCTTTACTTTTAGCTCTACGAACCTAGTCATCAAAGAAAAAGAACATTTACTTTACATGTATCACAGCAATCAGTTCAAACCACATCAAGACAGCTGGGAGAAGAGTGTCTCTTCACACTAGGGGATGTGAAAGGTACTACTTTTCACAAAGGCTCCATAAAGCAAAGAATCAACTTTCTCCTGTCACTCCCCATTCCCAAAGAAATCATGGACAGAAAAAACAACCTCTCTTTAGTAAGTTTCCTAAATATTATTCAGCTTTTGGTTTGTTTGTTTTTAGTAAAGTGCTAAAAGTCCTACCACAAGCTTGCAACCATAAAAGTACAACCACTGGTTAACCACCTTTCAAGTATTTAATGATGCAGCTGTTAGAGAAGGACTAAGCTAAGGGTTAAAAAAGGCCTCCAATTTCATCTCAAAATTGAGAACTGAATGGGAACTGCAAAGGAAGGCAAGGGAATACATGAATTATGATGGTGTTTGTGGAGACATATGCTAGTAAGCAGATTTTTAATTCTTTTATCTGCAGGAAGTTGGGGAGGGCGGTTAAGAAATCTATTTAGGTACAGATTAAGTTTGAGTTCAGAGACTTTTGGCAAACAAACAAAACGCAGGTCAGATGCATTAGAAAGCTGAACACCGCTGACTCCATACAAGGCTATCAGCTTCTCCTGTCATTGGGCAATTTCCTGAGTTAGTTCTGGGAAGTCAGCTCCACAGGACGAGGTTACACAGAGAATACCAATACCTGCCAGTGCTCTTGCTTATGTGGCAGAGAGCCTGGTGACACTCGTCCACCTTATGACGCAGCGTCACCACCGACTGGGACCACCAGCGCAGAACATCACCACCATCCATCAACATAATGATATCTAAGGAGTGATCATACTGTGATTGGACAAATCAAGGTTGTGGCCATCCACCATAATCTAGCATTTCATGTGTGTCACGCAGTCTGGAACCACAGGAATAACTATCAAATGTATGCCTCTATAAGAGATAGGAGATTCAAACTATTTAGTGTTACATAAATTATATCTGGAGTCAGTTTAAACACAACACCATGAGGATCTCAGAATCAGCACACAGGGGCCTTCACAGCTCATGCACACATGCTGCATGTAAAACACAAGATAATAAAATCCCTGCCATCTATGTTACCAGTTGCTTTAAGCCACAGGAACAATTTCAAGAGGAGAAACTCAGAGGAAACAGATTCAACACATTAAGGTTATCAATAAATGCACATATTTTGACTCCATGTAATTCAAAATGAATGTTTTAAACCTACTGATTTTATCATATCTAAGGTGCCACTGATTATGAGATATATTTTATGTAACACTAAAGAAGGAAAAATATTGCCAATTAAATTACAACCCAACTGTCAAATGTCAACTGTTGTAAGACATATATCCTAATTTTAGAGATGTTAAAATGTGAAAAATTGTGCACCTCAGTATTTATGAAACACTCAGGTGACTACTTTAAGAGATACTATGTTTTAAAAGAAAGCTTCACTTTCCTTTTGCAAAATCTCCAACAAAGATATCTTTGGTTCTGTACAAAAATGTCAGAGATAAAATTTGCCATACTTTCATTAAAAATTCTCTGTCTTTGAATCCTTCCCAGAGATTAGAGTCTTTACAAAACTCACAGATAAAATATAGATGTCAGCTCAACATAACCTTGATTTGTTGAACAAATCATATACTAATTTAAATAAAATGTCAACCCTATGCAGTATCAGGAAAATACAAAGCCTTTTGGAAAGAAAGAAGCCAGAATATCACTCAGTTTTCAGACTCAAGTGACCCTGGGGGTCATCTAATACAGACATCCTTCTAGAAAGATCTGAAGCAATTTCATTTTCTAGATTCTTTATACTTGAGAGAAAAACATTCCTGAAACTTTCTGTTCTAGAAAAAGAAAGGAAATTAGAAGATTAAAAAATTTTTTCCTCCCATTAGTACAGGGAAGATCTTGATCTCAGGTTTAATTGAGACGGTCAAATGAATTCCTACAGAGAGAGTTTGTGAAAAATACGACACAAAAGAGAGAAGTCAGTGGTCCTCAGGCTTGGGCTCTAGTCTGTCTGGCGCCTAAGTGGCTGGAACACTGGAAGTCACTTATGGTTTCTGGGCCTCGGCTTTCTTCTCCTGTGAAGTAATTAACTGATTTCTAGAACTCTTTTAGATCTAAATTCCCACAGTCTATGAAAATTGAGATGGCACACCCACTCCTGGATTAAAATAGAGCACAAAGCAGATCAAATTTTGAAACACCCTCCACTTAGCTAGGTTATTTCTGCTAAAAATTATGTATGTTGGTGTTAAAAAAAAAAGTCTTCATGGCTTCTAAAAATGTCTCCTTAATTAAGTGTAGCCCATAGGAGGAAGCAAGGGTCTCTCGATTTTAAACCGGAGGAATTTAAGTATATTATATACATTTAGAAAAGTATAAGAAAACTTTTAGGTATTAGAAGGTGCTCTGCTGTGCAAGGTTATCAGTGCTTTCTGTGCAGACTGTGGGGAATAAAGGACAAGGAAGAGAAAGACGTCAGGAGAGGCTGTCACCTTTACCCTTTGCCTCGGGGAGGGGAGCTATTCTGTGCTCAGCAAATGCTCAAGTCACATAAACCTACTTCATCTTTTAGACGTGGATCGTCTAACTCAACTTTTCTTATGAATAGTATGTCTTTTTCACTTAATCTGTGAATTGCCTTCTCAAATGTACTTACAATTTAAGAACAAAGCTGGCAGGACAGTTTAACTGATGAGGTTGATTTCTGATTGATAATGACTTAAAACTGCTAACATCTTGAGATATTCTAGGCTATTTCATCAAGTAAAAATATACATATCAAAGAAAGCTAAGTAACAATGGAAAATAATAAGTGGCTTTTCTGTTTATCCAAAGTTACACATGTATGGCAAAGGAAACATTAGAAGTTTAAAAAATAATCTCACAAGACAATACCCTTAAAATCAGTTTCTTTCAAGCAAATACTCTGTTATCTAATTATCATCTCATAATTAATGCAGAGTTAAAGTGCACAAAGGCTCTCTGAATAAAGATTTTTAAAGTTCTGCCAATAGACATTACACCCATGTGTGTGACTTGGAAGTTCAAAATTTTAATGTCATATGTGAATCACATAATGCTAAAGGATGATATAAAAATGACTGCAAAGTAATATCTGACTTCTAAACAAATATTTCAACATTTGTACATCCAAGGGAGTATCATGCTCTTCAAAGTAAACATCCATGTTGCCATTCCAAATATTTCTGAAGCTTATTTACACATTCAACAAACATTGATGGAATGACTATGAAAGGTCAGACACTATGCTTATGTGTCTGTGTGAAAACGGGGGGAAATAAGAGGCGTCCCAATACGCAGGAAGTTCAGAGTACACTGAAGAAGCCAGTAATTCAAAGAAAGAAACTGTTAAAAATATGACAATGAAAACCACAAAAGACAGGAGCCAAGTTGTGGTGTCTGCAGGGTCTGACTGGGAGATCAGGAAAGGCTACTCCTGAGGATGGGACATATGACTCTGGTCTCAAAGGACAAGCAGGACTTGACTAAGAGAAGTGGGAAGATCAAACAGAAGCAACAGTTAAGACAGGCCTGGCTGGCTGGAGGAATGAAAGCCACACAGTTAATCAGGGTAGATTCTTCTGAACATTCCCAGTGATGGGCAATCTTCACCCTCTGAGCTGAGAAAGAATTATGCTGAGTAACATTCAGAGAAGAGATGGGCAGTCAGACTTCACAGTATCATTTCTGGTCAAAATGATACCAGCTTGCATAGGTTTGAAGGCAGTTCCACAGAGGGTCTCTAAATCCTTTGAACAATGAGAGCATTGTTGGAATAAGCCTCGAATGTGGCCTTAGCCCTGCTCACTGCTATGTCCCTGGCACGCACATCAATACTTACTGAAGGAACAAACACACTAATCCACAAAAGAAGAATCGTTTGTATATAATAATGACAACTGATGTCTAATTACTTCTCAAGGTGTTCTCCCATCATCATCATATACAAATCATGAGTTGTTTCAAAAAAAATCTTATTTCTTTACAATCATAATTCATTTTTTCTTACTGATTTCTTTTTGTTCTCCATCAGATGATAAATTCTTTGAGGACACAGACTCTAGTTTAGTCCTCTGAGAATTCCTAATACTAAGAATAACAGTAATAATAACTAAGTTGTATATAGCATTTACTATGGTCAGGAACTATACTAAATGCATTTCACAAATTACTTAATTAATCCTTAAAAACCATGTCAGGTATACACCATTATCATTCTCATTTAACAGGTGGGAACACTGAGGCAAAGAAAGGTACAGTTAACTTGCCCAATATTAGATAACTAGTATTGGAAAAGCCAAGATTTGAACCCAAGAAGCTTGGCTACAAAATACATGCTCTTAACCTCTATGCTATCCTGCCTAGCACAGTGCCTGGCATACAGAAGATGGTCATTAGATGTCTATGGAATGAATTCTTTCTTCAGAAATTATTACTACCATGAAAAGAACATTTCCCCCTCACCTAGCAATGTAAATTCCCACTCCACAGGGGCCAGACTTGCTGAAAGTCATTTCTGTTATCATCCCTAATATTTGCATGCAAACCTACGAAGCCACTAGTACAGCAACACAAAGCCAAGATTCAGTAATTGTTATAAAAACAAGTTTAAATACCTTCCAGTTCACCAATTTTTTTGGCAAATACTTTCAGTTGTTTTTTCAGTTTCCGGACAGTCTTATCTTGTTTTTCAAGTTGTTCCATCAAATCCTAAAGATCAGAATGAGAAATATAACAGGAAGATCAAAATAGGCCTTCTAAAATGCCAGAAGGAAGGCAGACACAAAATCAGAGAAACAGCGTTTGTTAGTTTTACATAAAAGCTCCAGAAAAGCTCATTGGTGGAGCCCCACCCAGCTAAAACTGGCAGGAGATGGGGAATGCAGCTACAATGAAAGCGAAATGTTAAAATATACAATGCAATCAACTCCTTTACAGCGTGATGGATAGCAGGCTCGCTGGGGAGTCTTTCCTAGGAGACTCCACGTGGGCAAAACAATTAAATGCTCATAAAATATACTGTTAATCCAGGGGAAAGCTTTCTTTTAAAGAGGGAATGCGCAAAATAAATTTTGATGAATGCACACAAAGTTGTATGGGAAGTTTTAAGGATGGCTGAACTTTGGTACGGTCTTTTGACTGAGATCCATGTGTGTGAAGCACTGTCTCTATGAGACTCACCCATTAGTTTTAGAGGCTAAAACTAGTCCTGTGACGTAGGAAAAGTTAAGAAGCTTGGGGACTTAAAAGGTAAGTTGAAAAGTAACCACAGAGAAGAGGATAGAGAGCGGTCTGCAGACCAAGCGGCAGTGGCATGACAAGCCCATAAACTCTTGCAGGTGATACAATTTTGCTTGTAGAGAAAAGAATTCCAAATGCTTTATGCAAAAAGAGAAACAAAAGCAGTACTTTCAAGAGTAGGGGATAGAAAAGTGTATGATAATTGGCTCTCTAATCAAGAACTCTTTCAAACGACAGGGAGAGTTAAAAGATTGATAATTAAGAAGTGGGCAACAGCAGCCTGGGAGTTCAGAGGGGAAATGAAACAGTGATATCTGTGGCTGTAATTCAGGTTATAGAGAAAAACAGCATTTATAAATACAAATATCCATTCATTCTCCAGTTTAGACAGAGCTGATTTAGATACTAGACCAATGATTCAAAGGGAAGAGTTGCTAAATTTCAAAGTGCTCAGTTGTGCTTCTTGGATTTTTCTTTCTCTCTCAAATCACGTTTTGCTCCCATCACACTGCAAGCCTAGTGTTAATAACAAACCAAATGTGACAATGGACGCAAGACACTGATAGAGGTGACACCACTGGCTAAAAGACAGCTGTGGGGGGAAACAGGTTTTGTGAAAGTTTGTGAAGAGACTTCCTGGGGCAGGGCGGGCAGGGCGGGCGGGCAGCGTGAGTTCTCCAGGTACAGAGGGCTAGAAGGAGCAAGGACAACGCCAACGACAACGAGAAACACTCGGAATTTACATACAATCATCCGTTTGTAAAGTGAAATCCGATATGATTGATACTTCTTAGGGTCATCTGCATATAATTCCTCAAAATACTGAAAAAACAGGCACAACGACATTTGTTTCTCTCTGTGTCTTGGAGGGGAATGCTACCTCTTGGCAACATCAATTTTTAAACATTTAACAACACAAATAATGACACTATATACATGCAAAAGGCTCTGACTTGTCACCGGCCACTGCCCTCTGATTTTCCTAGTACTGATGACTCCCATTATCGATACACACACATATTCTGACATGCTCACTGGAAACAGGCTATTTAGTGGGTAAACAGAGCAGTGGGCCATAGTCCCCAGATAAGGTCGTTATTTCACTCCTCAGACCTCTTCACAAGTTGCTGCACCTTTTTGCTGGGGGAAGGCAAATAAAATGAAAATGCGAATAAATGGCAAAGTGGGCGCTTTTGTTTGAAGCTGGAAAGACTGGTGAGAAGCTGTGTGCCTTCCTTCCCTGAAAGGCGGCTTAGGGGTGGCCTGCGAAGCACGTTCACTAGGGAAGGGAGGAAAAACCATCTCAGTGTTTGTGCTGGGGGGTAGGTGGGTGGGTAGGGTTTGCAGGGTAGAGTTTCCAAGAACTCCAAGCCTAGGCCCACTGCTACTTTAATAGTCTGCCCAAGCGCTTCCTAAACAAGTGCGCAGTTAATCCTGAGAAACCACAATGACTGTGAAAAAGCGCATCATTTCCTGTACATAAGTTTGAATCCGCTCTCCTGAATTAGGAGTCCGGGAGGCAGGAGAAGCAGCTGACCTATGAAGGTTTTTCCTAAAATTCAAACTCATTAACTAGATTCTATCAGCTTAGAATGTGGGGGCTTAGTTTATTTTTGTATTACCTAAAAAAATATTGAGAGGAAAATTAATAGTGCACACGAGGGTACAAGGGAAATGCTTAACCAACTTTGTGAAAAAAAAACCTGGGAATTTGCTACCCAGAAGCATATTCATTTCATGGTTTCACCTTATATTTTAAGACAATCATTTGTAAGCACAGAATTTATATGCTGATCAATCATTATTATATTATATAGTATATTTAATCAATTCTTAGTCATTAAAGCATTGTTAGTTTAACTTAAGCAACAATATACTTGAGAGTAATAAAACGACGTTTCAAAAATATTCCATGATTCAGAAGATCTTCTCCCACAAATCAGTGACATTTCAAGGCACTTTGGAAAGAGTCCAGACTCAACTCTCACCCACCTCTCCCATTCCTACAATGCAGCCTCACCAGCAAGCTGTCTTCAGAGGGACAGACTGGGAAAATACTTCTGAGTTCTGCTTCAAATTAATATAAAAGAATAGATGACACCAGAAAGCTATTTGTAATGTAAATGATTGCTAATGGGGTAATGGATAGATAATCCAGATTATTAAGCCTTCAGAGAAAATCTAATGACTATTATAGGTCATTAAAACCCTGAATTAAAAAACAAAAACCAAAACAAATCACTGTCAGTCCTACACAGCTTTTCTAAAAACTGGGCTGACACTAAAATATATATTTTTACATAGAAATATAGAATTATAACTTTTTGATGACTTTTAATTTAATAAGTATATTTATCAAACAAGCAGATTTTTAAAAACCTGAAAATCTGTAATAGAAGTTATTTTGTGAGTGAGAAATACTTTAGAAAATATTTTCTGTAAAAGAAAGAAGGACAGAAAGGGAAAAAAGAAGAAAAAGAAAAAAACTTAGATTCTGTGTCAGTATTCAGAATCTGGCAAAGGAAAATATTTCCTCATTCACTGCCCAAGTTCTGTTAAAAAGAATCAAGAATATATAAACTTGAATCCTGACGTCCTTCCTCCCTGACCTGGGAGCTTCATCCAAGGTCAACCTAAAGCCCTGCTCTGGTTCTGCCAAACGCCTTCCCCTGAACATGACTCTAATCCCATGGTCTGCTACAGATGGAGGCTGGGAAAGCCTCAGTGGTGCTTGGGGACCAAAGGCGAACAAAGCATGTCCTCAGTCTCCATTGTAACAACCATATAACCTCCTCGAATGGCAGAGAATCTGCAGCTGAAGTGGAGGAAGTGGGGCAGCTGAGTTCTGAGGACATCAGAAGCCCAGCACACAGA